TGTAAACCAGCACATCCCAATAGACCTGCGCATCAGGTGACTCGTACATTGATTTGTTTGTTAGTGGCGAGTACCATCAGGGAACAGAATCCACCAATCAGAGGTCTTTACATTTTTCGAAGAAAAGCATTTTCAACGCGGCATTGTGTCGGTTTGAATACTTTGATTCAGCTTAGACGGAACACCCCGATAAAACATGTGAGAGGGTCTCTGCAGCTTTTCTTCACCTCCTACACGTTACACCACCCCCCATGGGCGTTTCCTGTCTTATATGAAGTATACGCTCTGGTCGGTGTTAGGTGCTCGTAGAGCTCCATTACACCTGCAATGAAGTGAGTAGGTGCATACGTCTTGCCGTCGAGAAGAAGGCAGATGCCCGTGCCACTTTTCTGTCTTGATGTCCTCTTGTAGCTTATTATTGCAGCTTTCATCAGGTGCGCCTTTATCTTTGTTCTTTGTATCAATACCTCTGATCTCTTGTGCGAATTGCACGATGGGTCTGTACGCTTAAGGGATAGAGTCGTCCCCAGCTTCTCTGCGAATTTATGTGCTTCAGCAACCAACGATGAATGCCCTTTCTCAGCTGCTTCCTCTTCAAACATCTGATCGGCCCTCATGAAGGGGTTGGGTCCTGATACAGTTTCTGACACTGAGTTAATATTGCTGTGCAAATGATCGCAAGCCACATCCTCCCTTGTCTCTTGACAGGTACATTACAGCCGTGGAGCTGAGTGTATGTTTACCTCCACCGTTGCGAATGATGTGTCTCACCTCCCTATCAGTCAATCTAAGCTCAGTGATGGACCAGTGTGCTGGGTTCAAATCTAGTAGGTAGCACAGGAAGGTAACACTGGTTAGAAGCTGTTACGTGACATCAGAAGAAGACAAGAACAAATTACCGACATCTTTGCAGGTGAGCCTTTGCCGCGAGCTCAAGGGCCCCTTATCATCCTGCAGCGCGGTCTCGCATACTCCTTGAAACTTATAGGTAGACCCCGCCTTAAACCGCCGTTTGATCCAGTCTTAGATCTGCTGAGTGATGCACGTGTGATCTTCTCGTGGCATTTATGACATTGCATTTCTTTGGGTTCCAATAAAACCCCATGTGCTGCATCGCAGAGTGTTAGGTCTTATAACTGTTCAGATTGGCTTCAGATGAAGTATACAATTTGAGATCATCAATAAACATTGGATATGTTATCTTTGTGCCTATTGATATGGATAACCTATACCCCTCCATTGCACTCAACGACCAGGCAACTAGATTTAAGCACAGCGTAAAGAGACGGGGACGGAGGGCGTCACCTTGAGGTAGACCCCTATTGAATCTAATAGCGTGGGAGATCTCAATTCCACCTTTAGTGAAAGCTATTATCTTGGTGTTTCAACCTTATATCTTATTAGTCTACAGAGCCAGTAAGGGAAGCGGTACCTTTCCATAATATCACAGAGCCATTTGTCATCCACAGAATCATACGCTTTTTTCACATCTACCCATTCCGTACTCATATTTCGGTTTCCCCTGTGACAGTCCTTGGGAACTATTCTGTCAATCATCAGATTATCAAGTGTGCGACTACATCCTTTTTGGCCCCTCTCTTTCCACTCTCCATTAAGGAGACAAGATGGAAACTTCTTAGACGTGTTATTCGTCGCTCATTCGCACTCGATAACTCGCCAGGTTGAGGGATGGGCTTCGTTCTACCTTGTGCAAACCAAGTAGAATAATCCACATTGCTCTCAGAGATGGGCAAGAAAGCTTGTGGTACACCCTCATGGAGAGCATGTGAACGCTGCCATTAGTAGTGGTGTCTGGTCCTGGGGCACTTCAATTTCTTTTCTATCGACAGCATCCTTGTTACCATTTCCACTCTTCTCGCATAGATCCGCCCAGAAGCTGCGCACCTTTTCAATATCCTCAAACATACCAATATCATTGCCTTCCTTTCTAGCGCTAATAGGTATCTGGTACCTAGGAAGCTCCCCTACCGCATTGGACATTGTGTCTTGTTTGAACGGGCGGCTTAATGATCTAGCCTCGTCTTGCTTTTTGTACCTAATGTAGAGCCTTCAGCTTTTGTTGCTGCAACTGTGTCTTTTCCATGTAATTAACCAGCTCAGTGCAAGAGATTTTTATGCATTCCTATATTAGCAGGCCCGGTTTTATTTGTATTATCCTGGTCGACAAAAGCAGCGCACCAGGTGTTTAAAGAACTGATCCCCTAAACTACTATAATACTAAGGAAACACGTGAAAACATTATGGTTCAAGTTACCTACATGCGCTAAAAGTGATTATTAATTTATATCCGATCTTAACAATATTGATAGTGCTCTAAGACCATTGACCCTGGGCAGTATTTAGTGAAGTGCAAAGGCTTAATTTGGGACCAAAGCCAACTGATGGTAGTCTTCTAGCATGGGGGAGGAGTTGAGTTCGGGACTACCGAGAAAGAAATCTAGCTAGTAGTAACGGTAGAACTTGAACTCGGCGCCTACGGAATACGTGAACGACTCTCTGACTGTTTGACCACACTGCCTCAATCTGTCCACCAGTCTGTTACATCCGATTGACTTTGCATTGTATAATTGCGCCATGGTGACTACCTTGCGATTATCCGTGGTCAATATATTCAATTGATAATTTTGTTAGAACGTTTAAATGTTAAATGGTGAAAGAGAGTGGCGCAGGCCTGCAATTTAGCTGCAAGGGCCTGTAACTACAAAGTGAGGTAACCAAGAATTAGTTCAATATTCTTACGTGTTTCTGAAAGAGAAGACATTCACATTTCCTTTGGGAATTTTTTTTGCTTCCTTTTTCCTTTTCTTTCCTTTATTTATTTTTTTTTTTCTCCAAGAGTAAATCATCGTGGGCCAAGTGAGTAAATACAAGTTCGTGATCATCAGTGTAACTCCATAGTGGGCTTGTCTTAGATGCTATAAGTTCTATTAGTTTCAAGAAGAATCCTGTTTTTTTTCTAAGCCCGAAGCGTGGCGTGAAAAGGCGTAGGTTACCGCAAAGACGTGGGTTACCGCATCCTATATGATTCTTTGATATTATGCGCTGTGCGACAGTGGAAATCCGCCGCAAGGATCATCAAAATGCTTAAAAGCACCATTTTTTAATAGACAGTGCTTCTCAGGTATCAACTGTTTTCTATCTTTTAGGACTTGTGCGCAACTGCCACATGAATGTGCTAGTTTTTTAAGTTATCTAATTTTTACGCTTTGATCACTCTTATTACTGAATGACAGATTTTAGCAATGCGTGGATGCATTCCTAGTCAGCGGATATCCGTTCGCTGTGTGATTAGAATTAGGGCGAGGCAAGGGGGTCAAGGCTCCTCGCATTTCCGCCCACGTGTCTTGAACGGTATAGCAAGAAAACTGTTCTCGCGTGGCGTAATGTAGCTCAGTTGGATATTTGGCGGTCGTTTTGAATTGTTTTGCCTAAAGATAAACGAAGACTGCGTCTCAGGACAATTTAAAGGTTTTTATTTATACTTATTTGTGCGTTTTGGTATTAGGCGCAAACAAGATAAGGTTATCCTGTCTTGGCGACAAATCAGTGAACTCTTTATTTAATGCAACACTTTCGCAACTAATATGCGCTGCTTTTAGTAACTCTACTTGAGTACGAACATGCTGTCTAAGGCGAACTCAGTCATTTCTGCCACTCTTAAGTCACAAAGAAACCGTTTGTTATAGTAAGCATATGTTCCTTACAAAGGATCAGAATTTATATTATTCCGGTGTACAGGAATCTGCTGACTTTTCCTGTTTCATTTTCTTACTCTCCATTTTGAATTGGATTCGAAAGTAAGGGTCGCTCACTACATTACCTTTCGTTTTAAAATGTATTTTGTTGTCCTTGTCGCGTAAATTGTGACAGTTTACGCGACGAGGAAGGAAGGTTTAAATACAAGTTTCTTGCTAAAACACCAGTCTACAGCGCTTTTATTGAAAAACAGCGGAATGTGTTGTTGTCCGATTTTTGTTCAGGAAAAAAAGGTCTGCCGAAAGATATCGAATGCGACACTGGGACCATGTGTTACCCTGAGGTTCATAAATTACTTTTTGGTTCAGCCTTTTTTGTTTAATCGACTGGATTGTCATGTTAGAGTTGTGGCTTGCCAATAAACAGAACATACGGGAAGTGGAGACCGCCGGTTTTCGGTTAATTCAAAATAGAAATTCTTGCTATTCGTTATTAAAATTGTCGAACTTTATTGCCCAATTCAGTACTGCAAAAGAAAGTCCTCTTGTGAAGCTCAATTGGGTGCCACTCCATTATTTTAGAATCCTGGTGTTTGCGGCTTTCTAAGGCACTGACTTAAGCCCCACTCTGTGGATCAACATGCAACCCAACTTCACGCAACATTTTCGGCGTAACATGCGGGATTCGCTTGAACACACCAGTTTCACATAACAACAACATCCAATATTTCTTCTTTTTTGTTTGCACTCGTTTGCGACGGATCGTTTCGTAATATGTGGACCACGTTTGAACAGCTTTCACAACAATGTTGGACGCGACCTTTCACAATTTTTTTTCTCAGGCATGAGATTGTTTTTACGTTGGACATGTTAGGGTCCTTTTAAATATCACACTCCAACAGACCAACACCACTTAACATCGTCAAATTTTTTAATCAGCTTTGTCAGTTTGACAAATTCTGCCTTCCTTACTCGCGATTTCTTGTTTTTCGTCTCTTGTGTTAAAGTATTGACTTTTCACCCATGTCTAATGCCTTTTTTCTCACACGTGGTCCACCAGCTGGCGCTTAGTCGATTTCTTTGGAAGTCAGTCAACTGCGATGTTTTTTGCAATATCACTATTTACTAATCTGTAATTTATAGTCAGCAATGGCTTGTCTAGCGCTGGTGTTTACAGTGTTGCTGATATTTAAGTCCCACTGTCTTGTCAGTTTCCTTGTGCAAGCACTTGAAGCTTTAGATAACTTTAGATCTTGCATACTGGCTTCCTAAATGATCAAAATGTATGTAAATGATCTCACAGAATTCGTTTAGGACGAGAAATACTTGTTGAAGAACTGACCAGATTAGTTCTGGGAGATACGTGTTGTAGTCCGACTTAACATTGGCTCAATGCAAGAATGCCTACTGGACTAATATTCTTTTATTTAAATTAAAATTAGCCTTACTAGCCTCGTTCTCCAGTACAAAATTCAAACGAATACATTATCTCAAGCGAGGCTAGTCAGGCTAATCTTAATTTAAACAAAAGAATATTAATCCGGTAGCCATTTTTTGCATTGGGTCCATGTCGTACATGGTCCTGGGATTGCAGGGAGCGGTTTTGAGGAAAGAGGAATTATCAGGGGACAACAATAGACAACGGGCTTTGTTAGACATAACCCTAATTTTATTTAATATTTACATCTCTATGCGCATTTGTTTTAAATTAACAGTCATCATGGATATACAGAGTTCATTGAGCAAGTAAATTAACAGTTAATGTACAAAACGTGATTCTTTTAAATATATGGATATACCGTAAATGGAAACCAGCTTCTTAGAACAGGCCTTTCAATAGCACTTCAAAAAGCCACTGGTCACTCTTTCATCCACGCCGAATCAAAATTAATTTCCAGCTGGCTTGTCTGGCGTTAGGAAACGGTTTATATATAGTTTCTTACAACGTTCTTCATTCGCCACGTGCACATCTCCCATAATGCACCTTATTTGCCCCCCCCTTCGTCCCCCAACCCCCATCCCCCGCTAAAAAAGAAACTATTTGCATAGGCACTGTTTTCAATTTCTCTTGGGACGCTTGTAATACCCAGGAGAAATGAAAAACAAAGGGCACGCAAAATTTTGGGGGGCAAATAAAGTGCATTATAGGAGGTGTGCAAGTAGCGAATTGACAGTTAGGTTATTAGGCCGAATTCTTATTCTTACGTCATTTCACCAATTAATATTCAACAGTTCCACCAAAAATCAGACTTATGCTCATGACATTAAATCATCGAACTTGAAAAAGGAGTAAAGAAAAATTTTTCAAAACTAAATCAAGTGGACACTAGAGTGGCCGTTTATAGCTTCCAAATATCTGTTTGCAGTAACTATAGTCTGTCTGGAACCTGAAAAGAAAAACAAAATAGGCTGATATATTCAGTTCTGCAAAGCACAGTACGATGGCAAGTGTGTGCAATAAAAAAATCACTTTTTAGAATTTAATTTTGTAGAGCGCTTATTAAGTAAAAAAATTCCTCCGTATTTAATCTCTGTCACTTCGAATGTCAAAGGTACTCGGGCAAATAGGAAAACCGTTACTTAAATTATGCGTTTCCTCCTAACCAAAAATTTTTGCAGTGCTTCAAGGGCTCCATCTCCTTGTCCTCCTCACAACAGTGTTATGCCCATTTTGCACAAAGCTCAACCGCTCGAGAGGAATTTTGAATTAGCCAGTCCAAGAATTCTGACCCCCATTGCAGGGTAAAGGGTAAAGGAGCCTGTGTCAAATTATTATTCAGAAGTGGTCTGTTGTATGATTGTAAACAACTGTACCACATTAGAAAATTGTTGATTGCGAGGCATGTGCAATGAAGGACATGTAATAACAGTTATTAGCCTTTTAAGTCCCAGAAGTGGGCAAAATCAAAGTTAAGCAAAATTTCCCAATCTCACTTTGTAGAATGTTGGAAAACAAATAGCACCATCTGAGAATACAGCTGAAGAGAATTCATTTGAATGGTAACACCAAAGGATTTCCTCTACAGACCCAAAAGTTAGAATTATATACCAAATAAATAGCACCATGCGAAGATACTTGTAAAGAGAATTCATTTGAATAGTCACACCATAGGATTTTCACCACAGACTCAAAAGTGAGAACTTTATTCTAAATAAATAGCACCATGTGAAAATACTGCTGAAGAGAATAATTCATTTAAATGGTCACACCATATGATTTTCTCTGAATGGTAACACCAAAGGATTTCCTCTACAGACCCAAAAGTTAGAATTATATACCAAATAAATAGCACCATGCGAAGATACTTCTAAAGAGAATTCATTTGAATAGCCACACCATAGGATTTTCACCACAGACTCAAAAGTTAGAACTTTATTCTAAATAAATAGCACCATGTGAAAATACTGCTGAAGAGAATAATTCATTTGAATGGTCACACCAGATGATTTTCTCCACAGACTCAAAAGTTAGAACAACATACTAAATAAATAGCACCATATGAAAATACCGTTGAAGAGAATAATTCATTTGAATGGTCACACCATAGGATTTTCTCCACAGACACAAAAGTTAGAACTAAATACTAAATAAATTGCACCATATGAAAATACCGCTGAAGAGAATAATCCATTTGAATGGTCACACCATAGGATTTTCTCCACAGACACAAAAGTTAGAACTAAATACTAAATAAATTGCGCCATATGAAAATACTGCTGAAAAGAATTCATTTGAATGGTAACACCATAGAATTTTCACCAGAGACTCAAAAGTTCGAATTATATTCTAAATAAATAGCACCATACGAAAATACTGCCGAAGAAATATAATTGGAATCGTCACACCATACGATTTTCACTACAGACTCAAAAGTTTCTGAAACATCTTACAAGAACCATCATTTACTCTGGGAGTGAAAGGGTTACGGCAAACAATTAAGCATAGTATCATGCTGCAGCCCTGAAATTGCGAGAGATTTCCAATAATGCCATTTTGATATTAATTAATCATATTTATTAATATTTTTGTTTTACTACAGCTTTTCTGGTCTGTGTCATGGAGGGATCACTAGATTGCAGTTGCAAGTACGGCTAATGGTAAGATTAAACTCTTCAACATACCGATGGAAGAGACAAAACCCATTTCATCTGAGACAATTTCTTCTCCTCGTTATGCCTGTGTTAAATGTCAAAGTGAATTATCAATGGTGGCATTAAGAATTCTGTTAAATTAATTGCAATGAAAATTGGCTTGATTGACGAAAGAAAACAAAGAGTAAAATAAAAGACAAGAAAATTTCAGTTCAAATCTGTCATGTAAAAAATATAGTTTGAAAGAAAAAAGAGAAAAACTGCAATTAGTAAAAGACAACAGAACACCCTCAATGTTATTCAAGTTTACACTTGCAAGATTGAGGAAAACGTATTAACTAAATAGAGAAGTATAGTGGGGAAGATTATCCAGTGTAATTTGTAGACAAAATTAATACATTTGACAAAATTACAATAAATTTGTCATGTAGTTATTGATCACAAAAAGTAACGTACTGCTCCACTCAATAACTTTTACTTGTAACTTTATGCAAAATTTGGGTGATTTGTATGGCTTTAAATTCATCGTATCCTACCCCTTAAAGTAATCACACATAATTAATCCATGCCACTATTTTATATCGAAAATCCAATTTACACACAGTTGAATGAACAGCGATATATATACATAGCGAATTTGATGAGTATCCCCTCGTTTGTTCTTATTGCAGATTGTGCATTATTTTAATAATTTATATATACCAATAGGCAGCTTTTTTACAAGAGAAAGAGTGCATGAAATGTCATTTTACCTAAGACAGTGTGGACACTGCGTAACCAAGTTAAATCTGGTTTGTCCGTCGCTTCCATCACCTTGTTCACGATTTTGTTGCGGGGATCCTTCTCTGAGGCGCAGTATTCGTCTATAGAACTCCTGATTCGTTAAATTCTATTAAAAAAAAAAAACAGCCATCGCTTAATTCAAATGAAAGAAAAGGCCAGGCTTGAACTTAATATTTTAGTCCTCTAGCAAACCTTAACTAGTAAAATTTTTTCCACCACCGGGAGATGAACATTCACTGGGTATTTCATGCCTTCGAGGCTTGCCTTCGAAACAGCGGATTCTATTAAAGCATATATAACCTCTTCCATCTAAAGGCTGCAAAAGCGGCCTCAAAACGTAAACTCCCTCTCTGTGCTCACCATTATGGCGCCCAACGTGTAGCTTAAAGGTGCACAGGTTCAACACAAAAACAGTGGCTGACGTGAAACTTGTTTCAATTTCTCTTGTATTATTCAATGTTTGCACAGCTTTACTGCCCCTATTTTTGTCAACATCGTGTGCCATCTTCTCAACTTTCGACTGAAGAAATGCTTATTCTTACATTTTTGTGAGAGAATATTGAATTGAACCTGAATTGACTCGCAGTGTAGGTACGTAGCGCCAAAGAAGGTTTCACAGAAAGTTTTCCATGCACGCAATGATGAGGCCAACAAAATGTTCATAGATTACATTGGAGAACTTACCAAATCTCCGTTATTTTGTTCCCTTAGGCCATCCAACTGTCCAAGGTTTTCCATCTCTGAAATCCTTCTAAATGGATAAAAAAAAATTATTTTCTCTTTGTCCACGAACACCGTAGCTCACGCAGTGAATCGCTATGCTATGTTTTGGTGCAAAGAATCATGGGTAAAATAAGTGTAATCATGGATAAATTAATATCAATTAAATATCGATACTTAATGAAATTAATGGTGTTTATTAATTCGTTACTTATTTCTGGCTTATGGCGTTAGGTGTCTTTTAGAATGGAAAAACATATTTGCGTTGAACACTTTTGTGCGTGAAAGTACTTCAGATTAACTCGGATTCCTCTTTCCAATTTAGAGTGGCGGTCGTTTCTTATTTCCAGGGCAGCTGTGCTTACCACAATACATGTACGTGAAATGCGCGGAAAAATCAACACAGTTGGTGATTGCCCAGAATAGCGACGATGAAATAGCGGAATTAGTTCTTTTTACATACCATCAGATGTTCCAGTTGTTCTGTTTCTCTTAAAATGATCGTCGATGGTACGACTGTCTTCATTTTGCTGTTTCGTTGTTGACTCAATGTCTCACAATGGTCTTCAGTAGACTGTGTCCTTAAAACAGAAGATGGAACTGTCTTGTCCACCGGACTACAGACTTTTAATGTTTTACATACTTCTGGATTTTGTTTCCCATTCTTGTATTTGAGGACAGACACCAAAACGAAATCCAGAAATACAAGTACAGAAGTAAAGGCGCCATAACTTGACAACAGTCTTTGACCTAAGTTGACTGCTTGGCGGATTCCGTTTCACTGACAGAGTCGTGCGTCTCGTGAATATTGTTTGTTCAGTGGACCCTTGATTTCCGCGGCATCATGTATGAAGTCTATTGAAAACTAAGAACTAAAATATCTGAATAGGGTCATGACCTCAACCATTCAAACAATGGTAAAGGAATTATAATCGCCACCAAGTTAAGTCATCCTTCACGTAAATCCATAATGAGCATTGGTATTGGTCAGTCTTTTTTAAATTAAAGGACGATCATGGTAGACTAACTTTGTCCAAAGTTTAAATTACAGGAACCCCAAGAGTGTATTTTATGACGTCGTTTGTTGTGAATATTTTCAATATCAATTTTCTAACATATCCTGACAGTTGGTTGTAGAAGCTGCTCAATCTCTAAAAGAGAGGTGCTAGGTTCTTTTAGTAAGCTTCTTGAAAGTTCTAAGCTCATCGCAGAAGCAATGAAACAAGTCCGACCGTGCACTCCAACGGTGTGTCAATAAAGAGAATTGTCATGTTAACATAATAGCCCATTGTCATCCTGCCTTTTGTTTGCAAAGTTTACTTTCGCTTGTAAGAATTTTACTTTCTCCTAGCACAGAAAAACGCGAACTTGAAACAGCGAAAGCGTCAGACGTCTTAGGAAAAGACGTCCAATGGAAACCCGCTTGGTCAATTAGTACGTGTGCCAAACACTGCATCGTTTGTTTAGGAACAGAACTTCAGATTCTTATTAATGTTATTTTCATTGAATTTTAGTAGTGCTTGTTGCGAACAAAATAAAAATGTAGTTGTTTGAGGCGAAGGAGTCTGTTTGAAGCTTCACGTGCAAAACACCCATTGGCTATGACCTTTTCATCTGTTATTTATTACGTTCAGTTTTTATCACTAGTATTTGATCGTTGATTAGAAGTCTTTGAAGTAGTCAAACCGGCTTAACTGGTTATGCAAACTAGTTATTAGCGGTAGCTTTTTTATGTCTAAATATAGATACCGAATCATTCAAATTTCAGGAAAGGTTCTGAAAGCTCTTTGTTTGACTGAATTGTGTTTATTTTGACCCTTTCTACGGTGGCTCGTAGGGACAAAACACTCCCCAGAATCCAAAACACATCTCAGAATCCAAAAACACGTCCCAGAATCCAAAACACGTTCCAGAATCCAAAAACACGTCCTCGTCTGGCAAGTGTTTTGGATTCTGGGACGTGTTTTTGGAGTCTGGGAAGTGTTTTTGGATTCCGGGAAGTGTTTTGTCCCTACGAGCCACGGTACCTTTCAACTCAACGCCGATTCACCACTAAGCATGTTGCATTTGTGACTTCTGAATGCATCGTTTTTTAATTTCTGCCCAGTTTACTGAAGCGCACACCACAACTTGGGTTACTCTTGTTTTCGCCTATTTATTTGTCATGAGACTGTGAAAAGGATTAAGTAACCTGCCATTCGGTTCAAGGAACCCCGTGATTTTGTGTTGTTGTGAATAAATAGCCCTGCGTTGAAAACGTCATTTTCTTTTTCCAGCTTCATCTCTTTCTTCTGTTAGCGATTGAACTTGTGTGAAACGAAAAGAGTTTTTTGTTTGTTTGTTTTTATGCTTCCGCTTTTGTCTACTGTAAAGCTCTATTTTATAAAGGGTCTTAAGACCACTCCAGATCTACAAAGTTGAATTTATGCCAACATTATATTTCAATGGTAGTCATCAGACTAAATCACTCACCAAACGTCAGGTAAATGGAAAATATCCAAAAATTCTCTCGTGCAACGATAAATGATCCGAACATCTGTGAACTGCATTTCTTGTTACAAGGTATGTCTATTCTAATGTGGGGAACAGACGTTCGAACATTTGCGCGACTCCCTATATCACTATAAATTTAACGCCATCAAAGATCAATAATCACGCTCTATTCAGTTACTCAGTTTGTGTTCCTTTTTGTGCGCTTTTGTTTATTGTTCTGTGCTTCAATCTAAGCTGTGGAAACAGAATTAGTTTCAGCCAGTTCAATTTTATTTACAAATTCTGCTTTCTCAGAAAAAAAAGTGTATTTGCAGTTTGAATTTTCAAGGAAAGTCCCCTTTCATGAAACATCGAAACTTTTGTATACGAAAAGTTCATGCCTTAACAAGTCCTACACATGCATGCAATAAATTCTCTTCCAAACAGTAGATGTATCAAATCTTGTTCTCGTTAGAGAGAGGTTCGATTCTCGTAAGCGACAAGTGAATCTTCGCAGTTTGGGTGGTCGCTTACGGGAGGTTCGACTCAATCCATTTTTTTGCTTAGTGACGGGTCTGAGGTCGCAGTTAGCCACATCTATGCTTCTTATGAGAGGAGAGAGGTACAGGAGGGTTAATCTCCCTCCTCCCTAAACTTGGTTTTAGTAAACATTGGTGGCGGGTAACAAACGACCCCTGCACTTAGTCGAAAGGAAGTTTTCTTACCTTCAGAACTTCGCCTCTAAACCAACATACGGTACGAAACTTTTGTTCGTGGGCCATCGTAGTTTGATAAAAAAAATTAAACACAAGCAGCGGTGATAAACATTGTGAGCTTTCGCAGTTTTATAAACTTGACGTTTCGTATGCTATCCAACATGCATTGTTAAAAGTGATCTAAAGTGACCGTTGAAGATAATGACGAGACTATATATACAAAAATTTTCAGTGGGTCTGGAAATGAGATTAAGAATTCAAAATTCTTAACGGTAATGAATACAAAAGGAAACAGTTAATAAAGCATCAGCTTTTCACTGCTGATGTTGACATTAGAAGCTTTAAGCCTTGAATAAACAATGTTTCTTTTATCTTATAATGATAATCTGCTTTGCCAGATGCTAAAATTTCAAAATGATCCCACTTAATGTTATGTCCGGTGGCAATGACATGGTCAGCAATATCTGAAGAGTAATCATTTTTTGTTAGGGACTTAAAGTGTTCAGTCTTCCTATCATGGAGCCGTGGCTTAGTTATACCAATGTAAAAATCATGACAATTCCAACAACAGGCTTTATACATGACATTCGACCTTTGAGAGCGATTTAGGCGGTCCTGGTATGGAAGGAAAGATTTAAAACGGCATGTGTTTTGAAGAATTATCTTTAAATTAACACAAAAGTAAAACTGGTAAATAGTGCAAAATTTAAGGCGTTTACAAATTTGGTTGCTTTGAGGACCTAAATATAGAGAACGAGTTGTCCCCATTTTTCCTCAGGGATAGTAGAGTGGGCGAAACACAAGCGCGCGTGAAAATCACCCCACGCGAGAAAGGCGAGACGCGGCGGGGAGAGGAAAAATGAGTGACTACAGACAAAGCCCACGTGCGGTCGCGTCTCCCTCACGTTTCGCTCGCTCTACTATCCCTGAGGAAAAATGGGGACTACTCGTAGTCTAGAACTGTGAATGTATTTTCCGGTAGATAGATGTCATGAAGGAACCATGATAATTGTGTTAAGCCGGGTCCGGAGTACAGTGGAGTGATTAACTTTAACCCGAAGTTTACGGAAATTTTAAAGCCATTTCTTTCTAGTCTAGGATAACCAGAATTTTTTTTGGCTTTACTCAAAATCCTTCTTGTTTTAGCCCAAAACAACGGCTCATAACCTGCTATAAGAAAGTAAAGCGAATCGTGGATATTTTTAACCGTGGATTATAACCGTAACTGGTCTTCGAAAATCAGGCGTCCGGGAATCCGTGTATTAAAAGCCAATCTTCTTATGGTTTCGTTGCTGTCTTTTGTTGACACGGAGGTGTTGGTGGTCGAATGAGTGTAAGGGGCTGCGGCTTCAATATCCTAAACTTGACTGTATGCCGAGCAAAGCTCGCTAAAGTACACGTGTTGGAATTTTTTGCGGTTAAGGTAAATTTCAGTCTTAAGAGATAACGTGCTTAAAACCTGTAATTACTCGAATGTTTCAACGGCATATGCCCACTGAAAACGTGAATATTTATTTGTTCAACAAAACAAGCGGCCTATATATTTGGCTAGTATATTTTTCAGGCAGTAATATGAGTGCTAGACAGGGCCAACTAATTTGCTCTATGTACATGTTAAACCATTTTAAGTATACCTAAAAACTGCCTTGCTTAATTTTTTGGAAATCAAAATATTTGTCGTCTTCAAGCTTGTGGTGTAACTAAGTTATTAGTGGATTACTCAGCAACATTTAGGAGCCAAATGTGAACTGAAGTATATTAAATGCTTCTAGCCTTTTTAATAACTTTCTACACTTTCTTTCAGGAAGGCATACCATTATGCGATCAGCGGTTATCCCTGGCAGCGTTTTCGTCGCTTGATGACGAGGCTTTTTTTATAACCTTCATAGTCATGTTTGTTCAGTGAAGGACGGAAAAAGGACAGTACACGTGCAGTTCCTGTTAGGATATTTTTGCGAGGTCTGTATCACTTATGAGTCAGTTATTTCAAAGAGTTTCTCTCACATTGTTTATTTGAGTTAGACTTCTTATTGTTAAACAACAACAACAACAAGTTTATTTCAGATGAAATATAGCTTACAAAGCTTGTGCCCGCAATTAGCGAAGGCTATTCGAGGCGGGTACAAGAGAAAAAGGAAAATTGTATAAATATATATATATATATATATATATATATGTGTGTTAAACGAACAATCCTAGAAGCAATCTAGTTTGTCGTGTGGTTTATAGCCAGAGTGAGACAGGAAGGCAGACTGTACTTCATACGGAAGCACACCATGTTACGATTTTGAGAATTGCCCTGTAATATCAGAAACTCTAATATAGTCGTCCTCTTTTTCCAGTATTTCAAAGAGTTTTGTCTTTAGTTCGCTTTTGAATTGATTTTTTTAAGTGTTTTCATAGAAAGTGGAATACTGTTCCAAATTAAAGCACCGGAAATAGAGAAGACTCGCTTCATATTTTCAGTTCTAACTTGTTCAACATAGTAATTTTCATTAGTAACAGATCTAGTCCGGTAACTGTGGACAGGAGACAGTTTCGTGAACATATTCTTAATGTTATCAGGAGCGAGATTATTATGGACGTCGTACATTAAAAGGCTCATTTGCTCAAATAGCGAGAACGATATCGGCAACTGTTTTGTTTCTAAAAACAATGGAACTGCATGAGTTCTTGGTTCAGCGAAGAACATTAGCCTGAGGGCTCTCTTCTGGAGAACCAGTAGTTTATGAAGATGCGTTTCAGCAGCATTACCCCACGCACAGATACCATAACTGATATAAGGTAAAATTAAAGAGCGGTATAAAGTGAGAAGTACATGACGGGGAACAAAATGTCTGAGCTTGACGATAATTCCGATTGTTTTACTGACTTTTTGACAAACGTAATCTATATGAAATTTCCATGAAAGGTTCGAATCAATGAGTATACCAAGATATCTAATATAATTTTTCATTTCTAACGGTTGACTGGTATTTGAATTATTATTAATTATTTTGATATTAGGATGAAAAGGAATAGTCTTTTGGCGTGGACGAAAGATGATATAGTTAGTTTTTTCGATATTCAAGGTTAATTTATTGACAACTAGCCACGAGCATACTTTGAAAAGTTCTTCGTTTATCTCAGTTTCAAGTTTTTTAAGATCTCCGTTTGCATAAGTTAAACTAGTATCATCGGCGAATAAGTAAAATTGAAGCTTATTTGAGGATCTATATAGATTATTAATATACAAGAGAAAAAGCAAGGGTCTCAGAACGGAAACTTGTGATACTCCACAAAGGGTTCGATGAGAATCAGAAATATAACCATTTACAGTCGTATACTGTCTACGACCAATTAAGTACGACTTAAACCAATCAAATCGAGGTAAAATTAGGGAACGGTCTTTCAGGTACTGAAAACTACGATGTAAGAAACGTTAGTGATTGTATGCTTTACCGGCACCCTTACTCTTTTCTTAGCACGTGGCTTCGTTCGGTTTATTTGTAATGGTAATAGCACCGAGTGGGGTCCTTCCGATCCTTAAAAATGGGAGTTTAATTGCGTGTGTAATTATAGACACGAAGTTCTGGGACCGATTACGTATTTATAACATTTGAGATAAACAAGTTGATAAAATAATTCATCGCACTTAAGAAGACCAATTTTTTTGTTCATGCTTTTTTAGCTACATATACTGCTTTATGAATGCGCAAATCGAGACTGCTTTTAGCTAATCAGATTTGAGAGTTTTTAGATACTAATGAGCATCAAAGTGACTGAGTTGTTAAATTTTTTACAATATCATTGTTGAAAAGTCACGGAAACCTTTTATCAATAGCACAGTTGCACCATGACATCATTTTACTACAACTTCCAGAATCCTTCAGTTTGTTGTTTTTGAAATCTCGGCGAGATTGACAAGTTTCAATTACTAGGCGAAGACGAAATGAATTCTGGTAGTTGTAGTCAAATGTCGTCATCGTGAAAATGACCTTAAAAACTGGCTTCGGTCCGTATTGTATTGTTGACTATTGAATCAGCATTTTTGAGATTTGTCCATCTCCATTCAAAAGTCCTCTTATTAACATAAACCCGCAAGTTTATGTGCAATTCCAGTTTGAAATGATGGCTGCAACGCCCTGTAGTGGTCATACTATGAAGTTTTTACAACTCGTCTGATACCTGAAAAAATAAACCAACTGCGTTGGGTTCATTTACGGGAATTTCTATAAAAATGTGGAGTGATCCACGTAACAAACGTTTCCCAATTCAATAAAAGAAGTAAGCTTGATATTTTTGTTTCGTAGTACGAGATGTGCTTTTCAATCATAAGTCAGTATTGTCAAACTGCATTTCGTAAATTTTTAACTAGATTTAACTGCCTAGACGATTTTGCATTGTACACGTTGTATGTAACTAAAGCTGTTCATCTAAACCGGCTAGCAATATCTATTTTCTTCTGTGCAAATGTGTCAGAAATAAATCATATATGAACTTCGGATGTCAAATTTGTCCGCCAATATGCCTGTGATAAAAGCAAATTCAGGCTTTTTTTCGTAAATTGCTTAAATTGACTATGTAAGTGCTACGTCAGTGTTTTTTAACGTACAGATCATTTTATTACATTCATTCCCGTAGAAACACTGTTGCCTGCCACTGCAAACCTAAACTGCATACCATAAAAGATTCCAGGAAGTCAATTGTAATGAATGCAAAGAAACTTGAGCGTCAAAAATACTGTAAAAACCGGAAAGTCAAACCAGAGGTCTTTTTATATATATTTATTCCTTCGGAAGTATAAAGCATTTAAAAAACGGTTTTAATTTGTTACTCTTAAATAATTTGGAGATCTGTATATTTGCGCTACTCTGACTGGGTTTATCAGGCATTAAGGTTAACTGGCTCAGTGTTCTGAACTAAAGAAATTGAGGACCACAATAATGTTGGCTTTCGTTAAGCCAAAGTATTTGAAATCCACTTAAGGATAGATTTTGTATTTAGTTAGTCTTGAAGATGACATTGAACTTTTACGTACCCAATTCAATCCTTCCCATCCATGGCCTGGACTGGCTCTGTTTATAGACGACAAAAATGTTAGAAACCCATTATAATCACATAATGGAGCATGTTTAGGCACTGGAAAAGAAATGGACTGAAAATCGCCCCAAGAGAAATTGAAACAATGCTTACGCAAAATTTGAGAGGGACTACAAAGAGCATTTTGGTATTTTTGAGACATTAAAGGCATAGAGAGCAATCAAAGCAGGGTTTTTGTTATTGTTCAAAAAAATATGCTTGTTGACTAAAAGGAACTTTGTGTGGCTGCAGTGCCGGAACCAGACCTTGAGATAAGAGGAGAGGGGCCCGGTCATCCAGACCCTGAGATAAGGAGGGGGGCCGGTCTCCAAAAAATTTTTCTTCGGCCCATCGCGCCTCAGTTTGGTCTAAAAGTAAGGGGGGGCACCTGGATCCGCGACTGAGCTGGTATCGAACCAAAGAAAGGCAAGGAATGGGACATCTCACCTGTAGTTATATGGAGAATATATGACTATGTGAAGTCTTGGGTAACTCGTTTCTCGTAAAGTAAGGCAATGAAGTCGTATGAAGTCCACTATCTCATTAAGAAGTTTTCAAAGGAAACATATTCTTCGGTGATGTGGTCTTTCTTCATTGCCTTCATGCTAAAAAGGAAACAGCGTAAAGCTTATAAATTTCCTTTGTAAGAGATATTATTTATTTTAAGCTGACGGTCTGATTCCAGTGATGACATACCAGTGGGTATTGATAACGATATTCCTGGTACTCTGTTATCTGAATTGAGTAGTGATTGCATTGTTGGAATTGTGACGAACTGCCCTGAAATTCAGGAAGAAAAGCATGGTAACACTGCCTCGAGATTATGAACAAATACCACGATATTTCGCAAATAAACGAATTACAATATACTTGGTAGAAGTAAATAACACTAACGATGACAAACAAGAAGCTGGAACTGGTATACACCGCAATCGTTCAAACTATCATCTAAATTTACAAAAAATGCACTAAATATAAGAACCATCTATGGCAAAAAAACTAATTACACATCAGCACGGTTTCCACTCAAGAATCTATCCATAAAAAAACTGTTATCCCAAAAAGTGCAATTAAGTAAGAGGTAAAAAGGAACTTGCGTCTCGCAAAAACTCCAGTTAAAATATTCGTTTCATTACTCCTGACTAGCGATGCCCCCTTTAAAAGGCTTTTTTCCAAGACGTATGAGCAACAAGATTTTATTTTGGTACCATCAAATGCTGCTGTTTTCATTGCAATGCAAGTGCTTCTTGGTCGGATGATTTAGAGGATTTGTTCGAAATAAAATAATTACTAACTGCCTTATTTTCAAAGTTTTAATTCGATATTTCGCGTATATTAACTTTAGCGCGCTCTGTTTTTTACTTTTTTAACTTTACATCAGACTTCAACGATAGAAGATGAATTTTTAGCGTCATGATAAATGTCTACAGAGACCTTTCGTTACAAGTGCTAAAATAAATACACACAAGTAACTCACCAAGATTCGCATGTCTTTGACTGCTTGGCGGATTCCGTTTCACTGACACATTCAAAAGCGCCTCGTGAATTTTCTTTGTTCCGTGGACACTTAAATTCCTTGTCACAGTGGCACCACGCGTATGATTGAACCCATAAGAACTAAAATATCTGAATAGGGTCATGACCTCAGCCATTCAAACAGTGGACTGTAAAGGAATTATAAACGCCACCAAGTCAATTAATCCTTTTCTTAAATCCATAATGAGCATTGGTATTGGTCAGTCTTTCTTTAAAATATAAAGACGTTCATGGTAGACTAACTTTGAAGTCTAGATTACAGAAACCTCAAGAATGTGAAAATATTATGACGTTATTTGTTCTGAGCATTTTCAATATCACGTTTCTAACGTATTATGGCGACAGCTGGTAGTAGAAACTGCTCAATCTCTTTCTTAAATCATCTAAAAGAGAGTTGCTAGGTTCTTTAAGTAAGCTTCTTGAAAGTTGCAAGCTTATTGGAGAAGCAAAGAAACAAGTCCGACCGTACACTCCAACGGTGTGTCCATAAAGAGAATTGTCATGTCAACAGTAGCCCATTGTCATCCTGTCTTTTGTTTGCAAAGTTTACTTTCGCTTATAAGAATTTTACTGACTACGTCTCAGTGGGTTTCAGTCCTCGTTGCTACTTATTCACCTCTACTATGGTCCAAATACCTCTTCACACTTCACCAGAGTATGGCAGAGAGGCCGGCGCGAGATCTGCGCGACACAGCTTTGCTCCATTAGAGAAATCGCGCCGAAATCACCATACTTATGTGTGAAAGGAAGCTCTATTCTGTATGGTTTTCGTGCCGACACATACAGTATAGTGTGAACATTGTCTTAGTTTTAAACGAGCTTAAACCTGCTTTTACTATGTAGTTTTCGCCCCTTGTAAGGGAATCCGGGAAATGTTTGCTTGTGGAATCCGGAATCCCGGGCTTTGGAATCCGTAAGACAGCTCAAGAAATACGGAATCCAACGATATGAATCCGGAATCCAAGTTCCAGTTACAAAGAATCCGGAATTCACTGCGTGTAAATGGGCCGATAGTTTGGTAGTGGGGTACCAATTTTGTACTAATTATCGATGTTTTATAAAATCCAACAAGGTTTAGTTGGTATTTCCCTTCCATCTGAAGTATGTTGACTACAGTGGAACCCCGCCTTACGACCACCCCGTTTATAAGACCACCTCGTTATTACGGCCATATTCTTTCAAACCAAACGTAAAAACCATTAACTCATTTTCTTATATTGAAGACCCCGTTAATGCGACCACCTCGTTATTACGACCAGGATTTTATCGCCCGACGGTGGTCGCATTAACGGGGTTCCACTGTAACAAGAGCTTCTCAAGCCCCCAATGTATTCCCTTTCCGTCATATTCAATCCAGTTGTAACGTCTATAGAGAATACTTCATGGAAAGTGCTGGCGTACGGTTTTTACGCACGAGTTGTTGACGTATCAGAAATCGAACGAGTGAGCGCAGCGAACGAGTAAGATTTCTGATACAAAAACAACGAGTGCGTAAATAGCGTACAAAGCACTTTCCATGTGGTATTGTGTTTATTATATACATGCTGAGACATTCATGATTTTGGCGGCCTTTTTATTTTAAATCTTTCAAAAATGCTAAAATTTGCCGCTACACACTTACCGCAAAATGACAACGAAAACGAAGTATCAGCTTTTTAGTAAAAACGTTTGTTAAAAACAAATGACGAAAGGATATGAGGTAATCCAAGAACTATAAGTGATCTTAACTGTTTGTTCTCAATGCACAACTGAAAATGAGTGAGTTTAAGTAAAATGGCCGGTTTCAATATAAGCTTAAGCTTAAATGAAAGGCAAAAAAGTAGCTCCGACAAAAAGCACAACAAAAGCTTACGTCTCGTTCTGTTTCTCCCTTTCCGCTGTTGTTTCGCCGGCTCTCTACCGTTTTCTTTATCGACAGTGAAACAAACGAAACCATTTCACTCCATTTCCGAAATGTTTTTCACTTTTTTAGCGAGACAAACTCTTTGAGTAAAACTTTTCTCGTTGAATGTGTGCGAAGCGGCGCTGCAAGCTGCAAGAAAAGGCGGGAATTTTGGCACGAAACTCACACAGCTCTGTGGCTTCTGATTGGACGTATCATTTTTCTCACACGTGAAAAAACATCGTTCGCGATTCTGATTGGAAGTATCATTTTTTTTGCGTGTGAAAACCATCGTTCGCTCCTCTGATTGGCTAGGACTAATTTGCGTACGAAAATTTACGACATAGCTTTTTGGTGAGTATTTCTCAGTATGTATATAATAAATAAATATTCGTTCTACCCAAGTTCAATAGTAGCCTGGAATAAGTTACCTGTAACTACTGATATGTTTCCCTTCACTAATGGTATAATGCCCACAATAAGTTCCATGATTAGGTTATTATAATATTAAATTTTAGTGTAGATAAAATCTTATAAATACTGTAGTAATTTTATAATGTAGATATCTATTTTAGACTTGACATGTAAATTTTTCTTTTGTCCATAATTATTATTTATTTATTTATTTTTATCTCCTAGTGTAGTGAACACTGTTTTAGGAGTATCCCTATTGAAGTATTAAAGTATGGAGGCACGGTTAAGAACTGAGCAAAGCTTTGGTAATTGTAATTCTTTATGCCATGCCACACTTTAGTACAACCAGACAACTTAGTATAAACAGGTTTATTTTTATTTACAATACTGATATCTTTCATTTATGGGCTTGGCGCGAGGGATTCACTTCCTGTTGTCATATATAAACATTGAAAAGTCCTCTTATTAACATAAACCCGCAAGTTTATGTGCAATTCCAGTTTGAAATGATGCCTGCAACGCCCTGCAGTGGTCATACTATGACATTTTTACAACTCTTCTGATACCTGAAAAAGTAAATCAATTGCGTTAGGTTCTTGTACGGGAATTTCCATAGAAATGTGGAGTATTCCACATTACAAACGTTTTCCAATTCAATAAAACAAGTATAAACCATAGGCTTAATATTTTTGTTTCGTAGTACGAGATGTGCATTTCAGTCATGTCATTATTGTTAACTGCACTAACGTTCTTTCGTAAATTTCTAATTATATTTAACTGCCTGGACGATTTTGTTATTTTACTCGTTGACGTTCTATGTAACTTTATTCTAACTATTCAAAGCCCTTCATCTAAACCGGTTAGCAATATCTATTTTCTTCTGTGCAAACGCGTCAGAAATAAATCATATATGAACTTCGGATGTCAAATTTGTCCACCAATATACCTGTGATAAAAGCAAATTCAGGCTTTTTTTTCTTAATTGCTTTAACTGACTATGTAAGTGGTGCGATCATTCCTTTAAGTAATATGTCGGGGTTTTTTTGGCCTACAGATCATTTTATTACATTCATTCCCGTAGAAACACTGCTGCCTGCCATTGCAGACCGAAACTATATACCATAAAAGATTCCATGAAGTCAATTATAATGAATGCAATGAAACGTGAGCGTCAAAAATACTGTAAAAACAGGAAAGTCAAACCAGAAGTCTTTTAATATATATTTATTCTTTCGGCTGTATAAAGAATTTAAAACACGGTTTTGATTTGCTCCTTTTGAATAATTTGGAGATCTGTATATTTGCGCTACTCTGACTGGGTTTATCAGGCATTAAGGTTAACTGGCTCAGTGTTCTGAACTAAAGAAATTGAGGACCACAATAATGTTTGCTTTCATTAAGCCAAAGTATTTGAAATCCAGTTAAGGATAGATTTTGTATTAAGTTAGTCTTTAAGTTGTCATTGAACTTTTACGTACCCAATTTAATCCTTTCCATCCATTGCCTGGACTGGCTCTGTTTAAGGACGACAGAAATGTTAGAAGGCCAATGTAATCATACGATGGAGCATGTTTAGGCACTGGAAAAGAAATGGACTGAAAATCGCCCAAAGAGAAATTGAAACAATGCTTATGCAAAATTTTGGAGGGACAGCAAAGAGCATTTTGGTATTTTTGAGACATTAAAGGCATAGAGAGCAGTCAAAGCAAGGTTTTTCTTGTCATTGTTCAAAAAAATATGCTTGGTGACTAAAAGGAACTTCGTGTGGCTGGTATTGAACCAAAGAAAAGAATGGAACATCTCACCTGTAGTTATATGGAGAATATATGGCTATGTGAAGTCTTGGGTAACTCGTTTCTCGTAAAGTAAGGCAATGAAGTCGCGTGAAGTCCACTATCTCATTAAGAAGTTTTCGAAGGGAACGTACTATTCGGTGATGTGGTCTTTCTTCATTGCCTTCATGCTGAAAAGAAAACAGCGTAAAAGTTATAAATATCCTTTGTAAGAGATATTATTTATTTTAAGCTGACGGTCTGGTTCCAGTGATGATATACCAGTGGGTATTGATAATGATCTTCCTTGTTCTCTGTTATCTGAATTGAGTAGTGATTGCATCGTTGGAATTGTGACGAACTGCCCTGAAATTCAGGAATAAAAGCATGGTAACACTGCCTCGAGATCATGAACAAATACCACGATATTTCGCAAATAACCGAATTACAATATACTTTGTAGAGCTAAATAACACTAACGATGACAAGCAAGAAGCTGGAACTGGTATACACTGCAATCGTTTAAACTATCATCTTAGTTTACAAAAGAATGCACTAATTATAAGATCCCCCAGTCCATGTATGGCCATGTATCAGCCATGTATGGCCATGTATGGCCATGTATCAGCCAGTTTCCACTCAAGAATCTATCCATAAAAAAACAGTTATCCCAAAAAGTGCAATTAAGTAAGAGGTAAAAAGGAACTTGCGTCTCGCAAAAACTCCAGTTAAAATATTCGTTTCATTACTCCTGACTAGCGATGCCCCCTTTGAAAGGCTTTTTTCCAAGACGTATGAGCAACAAGATTTTATTTTGGTACCATCAAATGCTGCTGTTTTCATTGCAATGCAAGTGCTTCTTGGTCGGATGATTTAGAGGATTTGTTCGAAATAAAATAATTACTAACTGCCTTATTTTCAAAGTTTTAATTCGATATTTCGCGTATACTAACTTTAGCGCGCTCTGTTTTTTACTTTAACTTTACATCGGTTTTAAACGATAGAAGATGCTTTTTTGCATCATGATAAATATCTACAGAGACCTTTCGTTACAAGTGCTAAAATAAATACACACAAGTAACTCACCAAGATTCGCATGTCTTTGACTGCTTGGCGGATTCCGTTTCACTGACACATTCAAAAGCGCCTCGTGAATTTTCTTTGTTCCGTGGACACTTAAATTCCGTGTCACAGTGGCACCACGCGTATGATTGAACCCATAAGAACTAAAATATCTGAATAGGGTCATGACCTCAGCCATTCAAACAGTGGACTGTAAAGGAATTATAAACGCCACCAAGTCAATTAATCCTTTTCTTAAATCCATAATGAGCATTGGTATTGGTCAGTCTTTCTTTAAAATATAAAGACGTTCATGGTAGACTAACTTTGAAGTCTAGATTACAGAAACCTCAAGAATGTGAAAATATTATGACGTTATTTGTTCTGAGCATTTTCAATATCACGTTTCTAACGTATTATGGCGACAGCTGGTAGTAGAAACTGCTCAATCTCTTTCTTAAATAATCTAAAAGAGAGTTGCTAGGTTCTTTAAGTAAGCTTCTTGAAAGTTGCAAGCTTATTGGAGAAGCAAAGAAACAAGTCCGACCGTGCACTCCAACGGTGTGTCCATAAAGAGAATTGTCATGTCAACAGTAGCCCATTGTCATCCTGTCTTTTGTTTGCAAAGTTTACTTTCGCTTATAAGAATTTTACTGACTACGTCTCAGTGGGTTTCAGTCCTCGTTGCTACTTATTCACCTCTGCTATGGTCCAAATACCTCTTCACACTTCACCAGAGTATGGCAGAGAGGCCGGCGCGAGATCTGCGCGACACAGCTTTAAGCCATTAGAGAAATCGCGCCGAAATCGCCATACTTATGTGTGAAGGGAAGTTCTATTCTGTATGGTTTTCGTGCCGACACATACAGTATAGTGTGAACATTGTCTTAGTTTTAAACGAGCTTAAACCTGCTTTTACTATGTAGTTTTCGCCCCTTGTAAGGGAATCCGGGAAATGTTTGCTTGTGGAATCCGGAATCCCGGGCTTTGGAATCCGTGAGACAGCTCAAGGAATCTGGAATCCAACGACATGAATCCGGAATCCAAGGTCCACTGACAAAGAATCCTGAATTTACGGCGTAGAATCCAGAATTCAAGACTGTCTTGGACTCCCTTACATGGGGCGATAGTTTGGTAGTAGGGTATGGAGGCACGGTTTAGGAGTGAACAAAGCTATGGTAACTGGAATTGTTTATGCCATGCCACTTTGTAGTGCAATCAGACAACTTAGTAGAAACAGGTTCATTTTTATTTACAATATTGATATCTTGCATATATGGGCTTGGCGCGAGGGATTCACTGTGTGTTGTAATATATAAACATTGAAAAGTCCTCTTATTAACATAAAAATAAATGATAGCTGCAACTCCTTGTAGTGCTCGTACTATGAAATTTTTACAACTCGTCTGATACCTGAAAAAATAAATCAATTGCGTTAGGTTCATTATAGGAATTTCCATAACGATGTGGAGTGTTCCACATTACAAACGTTTCCCAATTCAATAAAAGAACTAAAACCCATAGGCTTGATATTTTTGTTTCGTTCACAAGATGTGCATTTCAGTCATAAGTCATTGTTGTTAAACTGCACTAACGTTCTTTCGTACAATTTTAATTAGATTTAATAAACTCCTCCAGTTGGCAGTGGTTTCGCATAAAGGTTCTATGTCAGGTACCACACAGAAAACACACAAAAAGTAATGTGCAAAATTCTGGTGGCAGAGAAGCGCTTAAGCGGTTAGGGGTAAGGGGACCAGGAGAGAAGCCCTCCTTGGGGGCCCTGGACAGGAGTCATGATCAGTCTCCGGGGGTGAGGCCCATATCCCCTAGTCATTAGGAACTAAGGGGAACCAGGAGGGGTGGCCCTCCTGGGTGGAGTACAGATCGGGTGGGACCGAGGGTCTACACCCTGGAGTGGATATTTTTCCGGACCTGTCTCCTAGGGCCAAGGCTTACTGTTGGGTAAAGTGCAGCCAGGGGTTGCTCTTCCCTGCCACTCCTTTTATTGGAAAGCAAGACATTAGTTCCACATCCCATGAACCTAACGAAGGAATGAGACCTATTCCAGTACAATACCATAATGTAAACGATTAAACTTAAAGATACATATAGATGTAGAGGAATAAAATAATGATCCCCTTGATATACGCTCTGGTCGTGCTAAATATATAGTGAGCACAAGGAATAATTGAATGAGCTAAACAAAGGTTCCAGTCAGAACAAAGTGGGGAGGGGGATGGGAGGGAAAAAATGCTGTTGTTAATGAACCGAAGCCCTTAGAGAACTGACTGGGAAAGGACAGTGTACGGCAAAAAGGGGAGCACATGTGCATGATGAGCATGTGATATTATGAATGGAAGCTTTGGGGAATCTAGCAAATATATCATGCTACAGTGGACTTTGCCAGAGAGGAAGGATACATTATAATTGAACAACTAGTTACTGTTCATTGTTTTTTCTTGTACTTTGAACTAGTATCTGCCGTTACTTAGTGCAAAAGCTTATTCAAATGTTGAACGTTGTGTGACAAAAGAACAGAGATATGTTTGTTGCTAGTAGGTCAATATGTGTGCTTTCATAGGGCATAATTTTCAGGTTTATTAACATCAGTTTATGCTACCGTAAACTTGAACTTAATTGCCTGTACGATTTTGCCATTTTACTCGTTGTATGTAACTTTATTCTAACTTTTTAAAGCTTTTCATCTAAACAGGTAAGCAATATTTATTTTCCTCTGGGCAAATGTGTCAGAGATCAATCTTGTATAAACTGCGGATGTCAAATTTGTTCAATATGTGTGTGATAAAAGCAAATTCAGGCTTCTTTTCGTAATTGCTTAAATTGACCATGAAAGTGCTACGACCATTCCTTAAAGTGAAATGTCAGTGTTTGTTGGCTTACAGATCATTTTCTTGCATTCATTCCAGTAGACACCCTGCTGCCTTCCATTGCAAACCGAAACTATTCCAGGAAGCCAGTTATAATGAAGCAATGAAACGTGAGCGTTAAAAATACCGTAAAAAGTGGAAGTCAAAACCAGAAGTCTTTTGAATATTTTTATTCTTTCGGCCGTGTAACGAATTTAAAACAGATTGTGTTCCTTTTGAATGATTTGGAGATCTGTATACTTGCGTTAGTCTGAATGGGTTTTTCAGGCATTTAGGATAACTGGCTCATACTGTTCGGAACTAATTTAGGACCACAATAATCAATGTTTAATCTTACGTTTGGGGGAGTTTGGTTAAAAGCATTATTTTTCGTTGATTTCCACCCTTTTTCTTAAATATCTAGCCAAGCTTTCATTCAATCAGAAAACGACTCAAGTTGCAGTCCTTAATTCAATCATAGTGAGTGTACGCAACAGGACGGCAGGAAGAAGAGGACGGCAAAACAGCTGTGTGTGACAAAGGTGACAAGGCTATTACCTGTGGGTTTTGTCGTGATCTTCACTTAGCACCAAGGTTTTCTGGTCCATTACAAAAAGATCTGTTTAAAGGAAAGTGAAGTTTGGCGAAAAGTTGTTTCAAATAAAATTATTGTCACGCTTGTCACACAAGGTTTGCCGTCTTCTTTCCTCTCCCGTCCTGTTGCGTAAGTTCACTAATTATTTGAGAATTTTTAGGTGATTTTTCGAATGTTTTTAAGTGTAAAAATTACGGGGAAAGATGTTTAAAATTTTGTAAAAATGGGAAAATATTGGATTTGTGTGTTGTTAAGAATTAAAATATCAAGAGAATAATTACTAGACAATTACCAGATAGCCCACCACCACAGCAAGGTGTCTCTGATCCATTAGCGGATTAACTGGCTTATGTGTATACCTAATCTACCCTCATATTTCCTTCCCAAATCAACATCAAATCCCCCAAAAAACGACCATACTCCCCCTTAAGCTAAAGTATTTGAAATCCACTCAAGGAGGGGTTTGGGGTCAATTTAGTCCAAAAAATATGCTTGTGGACTAAAAGGAACTTTCTGTGGCTGGTAGGAAAGGAACGGAACATCTCAGCTATAGTTATATGGAGAATATATAGCTATGTGAAGTCTTGGGTAACTCGTTTCTCGTAAAGTAGGGTAATGAAGTCGCATGAAGTCCACAATATCGTGAAGAAGTTTTCGAAGGGAACGTGTACATGTTACTCGGTGATATGGTCGTTCTTCATTGTCTTCATGCTGAAAAGGAAACAGCGTAAAACTTGTAAATAACAGGTAAAGTAAAGTATGGGGTTTTTCGCATATTCCCTTGAACAACCGAATTACAATATACTTTACAAAGGTAAATAAAACTAACGATTACAAGCTAGAGGCTAGGACTGGTATACAATCGTTTAAAAAATATCTTAATTTACAAAAAAATCTACGCATTATAAGATCTATTTATGGGCAAAAACTAATAACACAGCAAAGTTTCCACACTAAAACCTACCCATAAAAAAATCTTTTATCCTAAATTAATCCTAAATTTCAATAAAGCAAGTGGTAAAAAGGAACGCGCGTCTAGCAAAAACTATATATATTCAAGTTACAATGTACATTAAATGCTGTGCTTTTCATTGTAATGCAAGCGCTTCTTGGTCGGATGATTTAGAGGTTTTGTTCGAAGTAAAATAATTACCAACTGCTTTATTTTTTTATTCCGTCGATAAGGTTAGCGGTCATTCTTCTTGCTCTGTTTTTTTTTTCTCTGTTACTTTCACGCTACATTTTCCTCTCGCTCAGTCCGTTAAACGTTAGAAGATAAACTTTCTCTGCTTCGTGACAAATGTCTGCAGAGACCTTCCGTTACAAGAGCAAAATCAACTACTCACAAGTAACTCGCCTCGATTCGCATTTCTTGTTTTTATAGAAACTCTAAAGCGGAAGTGTAGTGAAGGGATGACGTGAATCGAGGTTTGAGCCCGTGTTCCAGATATATTTCTGCACGGATGAGAATGCCTGGGTTTGAATATACTACCCACTTACGCTAAATTTATGTAGTCAAGCGAGCTTAGTGAAATGAGATGTCGTAAGATTTAATCAAAGTATGGCGGTGTATCGTTTTCGTGTTGAAATGGATGAAAGTTCCTCTAGTATGTTCGTGTGGTTCATCTGATGCTCTTTAGTGTTAACTAAACGAAACGAAAAGCTTGCAAAGCAGTTCATCCGGACAGTACACGAGCAGTCAACCTTTCTGCACGTTCTCGGAAAATGCGAAAATAATAAATCAGTATGCATCATATCCCATATTATAGTACCAGCCCTGGTGACCGTTCAAATTAGCCGAAGGCAAACTAGTTACCATTAACCTTTCAAAAACCATGTAGTTTTGGTATTAACGTTGGCATTTTTTCGCCATTATACTGTAGGGTTTTTTTTTGTAGATATAGTCATTCAAATCATCCTTTGATTCAACGTTGTGTAAGATGTCCTTGAATTGCGTGAGGCAGTAAAGCCTGTTTATTTTGTGTCTTCAACCATGTGAATGACCTTAGCATTTGTGGGGTGTTATTAAAGCTGTGGCTTTATTCTAGTTTTGTTTTGGTTTGCATGACGCAAGCGTCTTTTGAGAGATACTTAAACAGATCAAATGATGCGTTAAGCAGTTATTTTGGCGGTCTCGGTGGTTGTCTGTCTGTCACGAGATCAAGAAAAAGATTAAATTTAACACCCATCCGTTTGCTAGATAAGGGTTGTACATAGATTTTACTATTGCTGACGTCTTGCGATAAAAGCAGGTATACTGTTGAAATGTTTCGCACCGTATTTCATCATTATAATGCATTGATTCGCTTACCAAAGCACCCTTTGAATCCGGGTGCTTTTAGACCGAAAGTTTTAACCTGTTTATGTTTTCTAAGTTGGACCAGCTTAGTTTAGAATCCTTCTTCGATAACCGAAAGCGTGCAACAATCCCTGGTAAGACCTAAGAAAGCGAGTGGAATTAATGACACTATCACCTTCCGAATGTTTATCGATTACAAGTTACACGACATGCTTCGTTTCCTTTTTTCAATGAAATATGTAATGTTGAGAAAATGGGGAAGGAAGGGGGCGTGGGGTAGGCTGGCCTACACATTTTGAGACGGCTTCCAATAACTTCACTTTATTTTTAACCATAACCGATCTTACTTATACATAATCGTACCTGAACATAAATAAACAGGACATAATATTATACAAAATATTATCGTAATGGAATACAGAATAAGTCCCTTTATTTTCTTCCTAAACTCTGTCATCTCATGCACATGAATACTCTCTGAGGACATAAAATAAGTCCATTATATCCCAGGCTTAAACTTTCAAATTATTTTAATGTCTTCTCTTTCGCCATTTCAATTAATATTTTTTGGATAGCTAATTTTGGGTCAAGTACATAAATATTGATGGGCTCTTCCAGTCAGTACTTGGCTAGCTAGCACACCAAAATTTTTTAAATAATAAGTATTTTTAAATTACTTTACATAAATATGGTAGTATACAATAATCTCTAAAACTTCCAAACTTTTCATCCCGATTCTCATATTTTTGCTGTTAAAACAAAGAAGAAAGATGAAGATTATTTTAGTATTACACTTTCAAACGAGATAGTTCAAGAAGGCAATACTCCAGTTTCGAATTCGCTGCGGCCGCTGAATAGAAGCACTGAAGACTGATTTTTACAGGGTTAGCCTCGACCTAAGGTAAATTTAGTCACAAATTCCAGTCAGACGAATACCTGTATGTAATTGTGTCTATTTTTTTAAACACAATTCCAGGTACCTTGTCCCCTTTCTTTTAATATTTTACTTTAGGTCGACGTTAACCCTGTATAAATGAGTCTACAGTGCTTCTATTCAGCGGCCGCAGAGGATTCAAAACTGGACTTTAGGCCATTTGCCCGATGAGGTTATTTTACTTCTACGACCAGAATCCTTCAGGGTTTTGCTTTCATGTGCAAATTAGGGCTTTTGTTTTGTAAACCTCGCTGGGATTACCAAATTTAATTTGAGAGGAAAAGCAAAAAGGACTATGGTCTTAATAGTAAAATGACGTCATCGTGCAAATGGCCTTAATAAAAATCATAATGTCTGAACTGGGGGAAAAAGATTTAACACGTGAACGATTATCTCGGTTATGTTCTCATCTCAAGTAGTTGCAAAAGAAAGCCAGCAAAAATGCTTGTAAATAGCAAAATTTCATTTATTCACTTTGCTATCTTCATCTACTCCGGATATATTACGAACTGATTAAGTGACCAGATGCTAGTTGGCTCGATAGCTCAGGGACATGAGCACTGCACCTGTATCACAGTGGTGATGGGTTTTGAGTCTGAATTTTTTTAAGGTTTTCTTTCGTGACTGCTTATTTGCGTACGTATAGCTTCGCCCCCAGCAGTTCTAGGATAAAATTGCATCCATTCAATTCCATATTATTAAGTTTTGGCTTGAATGTAGATATGTGGTGATACTGTTAAAAAGTTGGGCACGTTTTGTATTGTAATGTTAACATTCTTTTTTTCTTTCCTTAACTCCCTTAGATTTTAAAGAAGAATTGGATCTTGGAAGATAAAAGCTAACAACCATTGCTGAAGCTGATGTTTTCTAGACCTATTGGTCTCACAGTGTTTGCTCAAATTGTAATCAAGCCCGATCACTTGAATTTATATTGTGTGGATATTACATGGATCGCTGGACAGCTCCTCTGTTTCATTCACTTTCTCCAGGAGTTTGATAGTGATTTTGACAACAGTGGAGGCGGGTTAATGATGATGGTGATGATGTTGCTGAATGTTCAAATAATGAATTTGTTTAATTGTTCTTCTGGACTGACTGTGAATTTGATGGCAATGATAAGATGTAAATAATGATGATGATGGTGATGATGGTGATGATGGTGGTGGTGGTGGTGCATGCTAATAGTGAGAGCGATGATCTTGATGATCATGGTGATGGAATGAGAATGATAATTATTTGTTAATAGCAATGATGATGATGGTGATGATGATGAAGACGATGAATGTTATAACGAGCACTTTTAATGCTTCTTCTGGAGTTTGACTGTAATTTGATGCCAATGGTGACGATGACATGATAATGATGATGACAATGATGACACATTCCAACAGATGCTAGTAAGTCTTGGATGCTTAGAAATGTTTTTGAGAAAGAAGTAGAGATATATAAAAGAAAGAAGAAGTGGAAATTTTTGAAATATAATAACGAAGTGAGCCTTCCTGGTCAAGAAGTCAATTCAAAACAAATTCTGGTAATCCGTGTCTATTCTGTGGCAAGGAGAGAAAAACCTGTGCTACGTGTGGTGTTCTTGTTAATCGAGGCTTACAATAGGTACTACACAGATTATCACAAGCCTTGCTTCCCTCTTTTGACCATTTTTACCCACCTCTGTTGCTCGTTTTTCAGCAGCTGTTGTTATATTACAATGCCTTCGTAACCCACTCTTCCAGTCGAATCCTATAAAATATCGATAACAGAATTATGAAAGAAGCAGAGAAGGGGCTTTGGATTTTGGGTATTTCCAAGACTAAAAGAAAGGTGATTGTTGCTGGTTGGGAAGAAGAATAAAGGGAGTGGTGTAAAGCTTCCAGTAGATGTTCACACTGTATAAAGAAATCCTGGATATTTTCAACGTGATGAGATTTTCTTACTGTCAGCAGTAGCTTATAACCCGCCTGCCGTTATGCATGGAATGGCAAGTTTTAGGAATGGTTTATCCTCATTTAGTCACTTTTTGCAGTGGTAGTGGTGGTGGTAGTGGTATTATTAGCCACAATAATCTAAAATTTACCTCTCTTGTCCATCGTTGTTCTCAAACTCCTGTCTTATTTCGGCTGTTTCCACCTATAATTGAGAAAACATTCCAGTTAACAGTTGGTAACTTAACAAGCGCCTTGATCATGGGGAAATCACTTCTGAATATCATAACGAGATGCCTTAGTACTTACTCGAACATTTTGCAGAACGTTGTTCTCCCAATTTTCCCTGGAAATGAACATCAACTGAATTAATAGACATCATGAACATAATAGAGGTCCGAAAAGTTGGAATGTGATCTGGACGCGAAGCTTTTCTTAATCTAAACTTTACCTTTCTTGTTCATCATTATTCTCAAACTCCTGTCTTATTTCGGTTGTTTCCACCTATAATTGAGAAAACATTCCAGTTAACAGTTGGTAACTTAACAAGCGCCTTGGTCATGGGGAAATCACTTCTGAATATCATAATGAGATACCTTGGTACTTACTCGAACATTTTGTAATACGTTGTTCTCCCAATTTTCCCTGGAAATGAACGTGAAGTGAATTATTAGATATCTTGCCATGAACATAATAGAGGTCCGAAAAGTTGGAGTGTTATGCGGACGCAAATCTTCTCTTAAGTTGCCCATTTCACCTGCTTTAGTGAACGTCACCACTAGAAGATTATAAGGCTTAATGCATCTTACATCTAAGCTGCCCTTTGGATGCGAAATTGAACCGTTTCGTGGTTCTTACAAGAAAATGCAGGCTTCAAAGTGGCGGGCACTGACTTGCAAAAAGATTACAGACCGCAATAACGAAATTTAACTGTAGAACATGTGCATCATCGAGTACAAAATCCACCATTTTAACCTCTTATCACTGGATACCAAGGACCTCCACATATATATAAATATCAAAGAAGACTATCCATCTGAAAGAATAGAACACTACCTCCAAGAAGCCCTTTTTAACGTATTCTTAACTTACCATGAGATTGATTAGTGAGTGGAAACAAATTACTGAAAAGCAATAGTTATTTAGTGTCATATCAAAGCAATATTATGTTAAAGGTTGCTACATTATTGCCGAGTGATGCTCCATGCTTTGTTTCGTATGAACAGCGATCAAAAGATACACAAGTAATTAAATATTCGTAATTCTGAGTATTTGCCCATACCAAACACACGATTCGTAAGACCTACCAAAGCGGTTCTTACCTTTCTCGCTGTATAAAAAGCAGGTGTTGCCATCTGATGAGAGTTCCCTACAGCCCAAAAAATACTGAATTATATGGTGAGAAATGGACCTGTGTCTTGCTAACAAGACAAATATTTGGGACCTAAGTTACCTGACGGCGAAGAATAACCTCGTCCTTGGCTTCCATACTTTCAACTTTCTCAAAGGAGAAAGGCATGAAAGGAGAAAGAAATGTTTGTAGTAAACCGGAAAGAAAAAAGAAACAGCTAATGGATTACCTTTTGCATGGTCACGTGGCACCAATCGATACTTGTTCGGCGATGCACCTTGTCGGTAAAGGTGATAATGCATTCGCGGGAATCAAGAAATCCGACGGAAATAGAGCGGGATTTGGATGACACATTGTGTTTCTTTTATGTTTAAAGTTCTTGGATCACTCCTTGACACTGTTAAAAAGCTGTCAGTCTGATCCGAACATTATGTAGATTCTCCAAATGTAACAACTGCCACGATTCCTTTCCTTGATGACTGAGGACTGTTATCATTCCTGTGGTCATTAATCAAGTTCCTTGACATGCTCCCTTTTCTTTCTTAAACTTTTCAGATCAAAATAACAAACTCGATCTGCTTTGAGAACTCAGCAAATGCGTTTAGTTACTGACTTAGTGTAACCGCGTGTAAGTTCAACAGAGTGTCGATTCGAGTGCAGTGACAAGGGAATTTGAACTGGTTGATCGCATGAGGAAATCACAAGAGCCTTTGGTTTTGAGGTCAAAAGACGATTGACGCCCTACCGACAAGAAATGCATACTTGTTGATTTATGAATTTCGCCGCCACTGGAAATTCCGTTATCTAATGAGCAAAGGATAAGCATGGTTGACCTTGAAAATATACAGTTCTTTTCCATTACAGTCGCGTTTAATCAGTTTAAAGGAGAAAGTTTCCCTAAGAAGACAGAAATTTAAGTTTGTCTTTAGCAGTAGCCATTGGATGAAATCTAAACTGTAATGTATTGTACATAAGTAATTTCCCACTGTAAAACTAGAGCCCTTTTCTTAAACGTTTTGATTTTGATTGTGTTTGTTTCAATACATATTTTCCCAAATTAACTGAACATTCAAGAACGTTAAAGTTCAAATACTAAGATGGACTGTTTATTTTAGTAGCATTGTCTGTGGTAAAGAACCGTCTCCCGTATTTAATGACATGACGACTATTGCACGCATGACAGTTAGTTTCACAACTGGATGTAATTAACATAATTTCAGGGGCTGTATAAATTTTTCTGGTGTATTAACTAATCATGCTTCCCCTGTATTGTTTTTGGGGCCTGGATATGAGTGTTCCCACTTACGCAGCAACCTTCTTAAAGGTGTTCACCATTTGGTTCATTTGATCACTTGACGATACCGGCTCAGGTGTCCTGTATAAGCACTTCGGGTCACTTAATTGCTGCGTAGGCTCCCAGAAGGCTTTTCGCAACAGATAGAGGATCCCAGACTGGTTATGTACTCATAGCTCAACAAAAAAATCATCATATTTGAGTTAATTGCTAGTAAATTTTAGCTAATAATAAACCAATAAAGTCAGGAAAAAAAGACGTACATTTAGCATCAGATGGCTGCCCCCAACTTAAAGAATTATTAGCTTCTACCGCTAAATGAATATGGGAAATAAGGTAATTTTTTTTAATTTGTAATTTGCTTACCCACAGAGCACGTGGGAGTTGAAACGTGTCCGGTCGTTCCAGATCGAAGTGGAATTTAGAAGTGTTGGTTTTTAAGGAGAGGCGGAAACCGGAGTACCCGGAGAAAAACTTCTCGGAGCCAAGGAGAGAACCAGCAACAAATTCAACCCACAAATGGCGTCGACGCCAGGATTTGAACCCGGACCACATTGGTGGTAGGCGAGTGCTTTCATCACTGCGCCATTCTTGCCACCTAAAATGGCTTATAAAGGCTTCAAGATTGTGATTTAGGCTGCTAATCTGTTATTGAAATGGATCCAAGGAGCACTGCTCAGTGAAGAAATGATGAAAGAAGATTGTCCCATTGTTTCGTTCTTCTGAGAGAGAAGAGCAGGCGCTCGGAATACTTGAAGTTTGGAAAGAACCTTTCAGAGTTGGTGTGCCTGGTTGCCCTAGAAGAGGAAATCTTTTGTTTGCACAGAAATAAGACTACTTTTGCGTGCACAAAAATGAGAACTGATTTTGAACAGTGTGGTCAGTAATATCAACACGTCGCTGCTCCAGTTATCTCAAGCCCAGTTCAGTCTGTATGGCAGTGACGCCTGATGTGTTGCGGTATCCTTGTCATGTCCCCTTGTAGCTGTACGCTGTACCAATAAGACCGTACATATGCCGGTATTTACGATGTGGGGGCGTAGATCCCATGCAATTAATGAGGGGGCGTACGTGGCGTTTTTTGTCTTTAAACTGAGATCAAGTGAATGAACTCTCAAAATTCCTCTTAATAAATCGTGGTGTGTGGGACTGATCTTCAGGAACGTACATCCCTTAATGGTTTAATTGTTTCAGAGGGAACCTTTGCAAATGATAGGTGAGAGGGATTGGAGTGATACGCGGAGTACCTCGTTTTTGTTGTTATACAACTCCAATTCGCAACTTTCCTCAAACAGTTGAATTACAGTTCGAGGTCTTTTGCAGTTGAATCTAGACACAATCTTTTGCTGCTGGATTTAAGCACAACTCAACTAAACTTTTGCAGTTGAGTGAAAACACAACCTCCTAGGAACAGGATGGCTTGTTCGAAGATAAAGGTCTTCACAAGGTCCAGTCCTCAGACATGCTCACTATTGGTTGACAAATTTTGTTGACTCAAAGGTGAAGCCGTCCAAGGAAGGAGATCCTTCTAAGACGCTGCATCAAATTGTCTTTGGTATCCTATTCTCTCTTGCCTACCTGTGCTGAAAGAATCCACGGGGCGTCCAACATTGAATCCTTAGGCTTCAAGGGGCAAAAAGTGTAGTTTTGTTTGGCATTTTAATATTAAAATACTAGTTTTTATAGTTGTTAATTTTGGGGGGTGGGGACTTGATAACTGTACTTAAGTGTCACAAACCGTGAACTATGCGCACGCATAGTGTAAGTTAAATAATGAAATGCATTATTGAATGGTGTTTTGGAACGTATTGTCTGCTTGAAATGTCATTAAAAGTTATTTTGCAATGTTGTTGCCTTGTTGTTTCACGGATATGACCGGGTTCAAAGTAGGAGATCAGTGCGAAAGTTGAATTCATATATGAAAGCTAAAAAGCAAATTCAGTTTTATTGGGCTTGTTGGGTACAATTTGATGATTACATGCTCAAAAAAAAATTGAAAATCTGTACAAGAAACTTCTTTTGAGAAGAAAAAAAAAAGAATCCCGGATCATGTTGAAAAATTTCCATGCAACTGGAACATAAAAATTCACATCATCTCGCCACTGTGTGATATCATTTGTCATATCAGGATTCGTCAATACAGTCAACTCTCTCTAAAACGGACACCTTCGGGACCGGCCCCGTGTCCGTCTTAGAGAGGAGTCCATCTTATAGAGAGTCGAGGTAACGTGACACCAGTAAAAACGTAAGCTGAACACACGTCTGTTTTACTTATGCAAAACAGCTAAAACTTAAACATTGTAACGGAAAAGTAGAATCATTTTCTCAATGAGCCATCAGACTTTCTTTGCAAGCGAATGTTCACGGCTCCGTGGTCTAAAAGCGTCACGGTGTACACTGCGAACCGGGAGAAAGACAGCAAAAGAGGAAAGATTTTGGAATTTGCTATCATGTAGAGCACCTACAATTCCGTTTTGTATTTTTTTTTCACTGCATAAAGCTCTTCTTCAGTGTCCTTTGTCCGTCTTATAGGCCATTTTTCGCAAAATTGATTATACAATGTCGTAAACGCTAGCAGAGTGCCTTTATGCAACCTATGTTGATATTTAACTTTCCTGGGGAAACAATACCCTTTCTTCAATGTTAGCTAACAAGACTTTCAGAAAATAATAATCCCAGCCAGCAATCACGTGTGACGGTTTTTAGCCAGCCAGCAAGGTTAAAAACACTAATATATAGATTTAGCCTGGGCTAAAAGCGAAGCTCTCGATAATAATTATTTATAGTTTGTTCAAACAAAATATAAAATCGTGCAATGCTAAGCGGCCAATTTTTACTGTTTTACAAATTATGCGATTATACCGTGCAAAATTAAGGGCCTGTTTACATGGAGGTGGGGGACCCCAGGGAGGTGAGGTAACCCGCTTAGGTGAGGTAAAAAAATAACCCTCCTTTACATGCAATCTTACAACCCCGCCTTCCCGGGGTGCACTTTCTCAAGATTATTGAATGGTCGCTAAGCACGTAAACAAGAAAAATGCTGGCAAACCACGAGTTTTGGCGATTAATGCACTTCTTCACTCACTTGTTGCTCTTGCTGCAACCCGTCAGTGCAATAGCTTTCTATTGTTAACTTTAATCATAATGCAAAGACACCGCGAAAGCGAATTTTGCGCGAATTTGATGTATCACGAATCCGACCCCGGCCAGGCGGGTTACCCCACCTTGAAACGTTTACATGAAAAATTGTGACCCCGGCTGAGAGGGTAACCCGGTCTGGTAGACCGGGCTACCCGCCTTGGCGGGTCACCCCACCTATCATGTAAACGTGATCAAATGAAAATGAGAGATTATATGGACAGGCGGGTTACCCCACCTAAGCGGGTTACCTCACCTACCTGGGGTCCCCCACCTCCATGTAAACAGGCCCTTAGTGGTCGGCTGTTCGAATAGCGACGATGGAACATATAAAACAGACAAAGAAAGAAGCGCATTAAAATTGAAAATTATCTAAAGAATGTCGGCCAGTTTGATCCAGTTGCATAGCTCGGATTTTTTTTATGTAACACGATCGAGTGCCTGTCGCGTCTACAAGCGAGTTTATGGTTAAATAGCAGTTCATTTGTTACTTTTACTTATTTCTGATTTCAAGCAATCTTTAGAGACAAATGGTTAGTATATGGATATTTTAATGTACCAGGAACAATCTTCTAGTGTTTTCAGATGTTTTGCGGCAAATGGCAGCAACGAGGAAACTCTACGGCCTCTATGGGAATACTTCAACTGGAAATACCGCTGGATCATCTGACTAATTTCGGATCCACTGTGAATGGAACAGCGTAGA